GAAACGAAATTGATGGCAATAAGAAATCTGAGTCTAATAGCAATAAAACATCGGGACCAGGAAATGGAAACAATGAAGAACATTTAAACCAAAATAATTATATTTTTGGGTTAATCGACAATTATTTTAGTGTCAATGCGCGAAAAGGATATTTAGAGCAGAATATACAGATTGATCATTACTCGGCTCCTGATTCTATCATCTTATCAGCTTTGATTGCGAGCAAGATTCGGAGGAAATAGTATATTAGAACATTATATAGGGAACTGTGAACAAAAGGCTACATCAACTTTGGTCTTCATATATAAAATATATAGACAAGTCGACATTTTTCTCGGTTATACCAGGCTTTTAAAAATTTTGAGTCCCTCTTCATAGGTCAGGTTATATGCTCACGTGAGTCTTCGATTGGAAGACTCACACAAGAAGTTATCTAGATAAAAACAACCTACAAGGCTTTATGGTGAAAAATATAAACTGGATAATACAGCATGCCGAATATAATGGTCCAAAATGTATATCTTATTCAAGATCTGCTGGTAGTCTCGAAAGCCTACTTTAAAACGTAAATAAGTAATGTATTCGATTATTATAGCAAATACACTTTGCTAAATCGACAATCCCAAGAGAAAGGCTTAGTCTTTCTATAAATTCACTTCTCCCCTGTTACTGGAGGGCACATGAAGTAGTAGTTAACGTCTCAGGACAATACGCTGCACTACCTAGGTTCGAGTACCGAGTAGGGATGCTGAAAAGATTTAGGCGAGTTCGAAACCTTGGATGAGAACTCCTTTTGGAAAGCAAGTCTACATAAAATTCATTAGAAGCGTGAGGCTTTCTCAAATCATGAACTTTAAAGAAATAGGCTGAACACAATTCTTAGTTAAGATCTACTAGTGGTCTCGAAAGCCTGCTTCAAAACGAATATTTCGAGCTAGGATTAAAAGCAAAAGATTAGAAAAAAATGATAAGTTTTCACGACCTATCCAAATAAGTTAGAAATCGTACCGATAAATTGAAAGGTATACCCATGAGAACAAGCATGCTTTAATAGAGTTAAATAAAAATAGCCATGCTTTCCAGAGAGCATACCATAATCACCGTTCTCGTCAACAGCATAATCGTATTTGAAAGAATCTAAAGTAACCGGCTGCATTAGATTGTTCTGAAGTTCCGAGATTGCATGCACGTCAAGATCAACCATACTAGCCATGCTGCTTCCTGCTGCCTGGCTGATCGCCTTGGCACGTTCTTTGGCCTGCTCGTAGCCTACCAGGTCAACCTAGACCAGACGAAATTAAAATAACCAAGAAAAGGCCGAGAGAACTAAAAAATAGATTAACCAAAACACATTGCTAAATTACCAAGAACAAAACTGATGCCATAGCAAGGCAGAGGTCAAATTTGTCCCAATATTTCGAATTTATTATCTTTTAATTAGTAAACTATACAGAATATGAAGTATGATTTGAGGAAACCTTCAGGTGTAGTCACAGTCCGACATCATTTTGTGAGGCCGAGTCTTACACAAAATATTACATTATCAATAGTCATGAACTAATGTAGTGAATCCATTGGAGTTTTTTAAATATAGAAGACTGCCTAGAAAGCCAAAATAGTCCCATTTCTATATAGTGAATGCATAAAAGTAGTATGCAGATATCTGTCGCTCTAATGGCTACTTTTCATAAATACTATAAATTTAACACCCGAAATTTAGGGAAAATCTATACAGAAAAAACAGCATATTTTAAATCTTTACAATGAGTTAAGTGTTAGGATACCCACTTACCACGTCACATGGAATATATTCTACGCTTTTCTTATGCGTTCAGAGAAATTATCCCATTTTTAATCCGTCTTTTGAATTAATCAAGCCATAATAAAATATCATTAGCAATATTAACATAGGGAAAACAATAATCATTATGAAGATTGCATTTTAATTAAGAATCAGCAATACGTAAACTTAAAATGTCTATTTTATAAAATTAAATTTAAAATTCCTTATCTTTAAATGCGGGCTAAACTGTAGAGAGAAAGGATGCTTTGTAAGTGATAGACAGAATATTAATTTTATCTCCCCCTACCCATAAAAGTTTACAAGACTATACAAAACTTTACCAAGCATTCTAATTAATAAAAGAATTCCTG